CGTTTTCTCTTCCTAGCTAGTCAACATCGTAACACACCTACCAAGCTGAAACAAATATATATATATATATATATATATGTATATATCTAATATATATATAACACATCCCCTAGGCTTGGTAGTCGAAAGCCCACCCAACACGAAACACCCCCAAACCCTTGCCACCCCATGTCCTACAGCAGGGGTGGCTTCTACCCCTCGTGCGAAGTGGTGACACCCCCGGCGGGTGGTAGCAGCGGCGTCAGCGGCGGCTTCTACGACGACGACAGCAGCGGCGGCAGTGGCTTTGACGATGGCAGGGGCGACTACGAAGCTCGCGGCACCCGGCGGCGTGGCATGACCCGGCGACGACCGGGTATAGAGTCAGCAACTGCAACTGGAGTAAGGGGAGATGCAGGGGGGAGGGAGGTGTGCTCCATTAAGTGTACGTGATGGTCCTTACGCAGAGCTGGTCGGCTGCCTCATGTTGACTTGCACTCGTCCAGATCGCGCATACCCTCTCAGCATCCTGGCTTGCTTTGTGGCCACAGGCAGACACCGACCACAGCGCTGGTCGGCCGCTAAGAGGGTTTTGCGTTATCTTGCCAGTACATCGGGCATGGGGCTAGTGCTAGGAGGACATAGGCCAGTGGTCCTTATTGGGCACACAGACGCTTCTTGGGCAGACGACGCTGAGACCCTCAGGTCCTCCTAGAGCTACTGCTTTAGCTTTGGTTTGGGTGCCATCTCGTGAAGGTCCACTCGCTCCTCGTCTGTTGCCCAGTCTAGCTGTGAGGCTGAGATCTACGCCGGTGCCATGGCGGCACAGGAGCTCCGCTGCCTGACCTTCTTGCTCGCCGACTTAGGTGAGCGGCCTAGCTCTGCCCCGGTCCTGTACGTTGACAACAGGGCCATGATCCTCCTGTGTTAGGAGCCTCGACTGGAGGGCAGAGCAAAGCACATCCAGCTGCGGTACTTCCTCCTGCGCGAGCTACAGCAGCATCGCCAGCCCCGCGTAGTACACTTGGCCTCCGGTGCCAACACAGCTGATATCTTTACTAAGGCGCTTGCGCCTAAAGATCATCAGTGGCACTGCTTGCAGCTAGGTCTTGTTCCTGTAGGCTCTCACTTCCTAGGACCTTTATTGTTTACTCATCTATATTTATGCCTTTCAGGCTGGCCTTGTGGCTACTCTTCCAGTGGTCGGACTTGTAGTGCCGCCCTGGTTTTCTCTGTTAGAATGCTAGAATCTAGGTAGGAGGGGAGCCATAGAAATGGCGTGAGGGGTTTAGCTAGGAGAGAAAGTTGACGAGAGAAAAGGGTGAGAACTAGAAGAGAGAGGCATACAAGGAGGGGATTGTACCCTCTACAGTAGAGTTCGATAACCTACCAAGCCTACCAATTATAAAACACAATATATAATTTAGCATGCTCTTGTCTTGTTTGTACCCCTGGTAACTGGTCTTTGGACCCCTGCCTCAGAGGTTGGACTAGTAGTGCTACCTTGAGCTGTGTGTTTATTCCACTGCACTACCCCTTATCTAGCCTAGGGGGTGTGTCAACTTATACATATGCTGATATGCAGAAGTTATAGGCTAGATAGATGTATGTTGTTAGAGGGTACAACCCAACACTATAACTCTCTTGTTGTCCTTGGTTTCTAATCAATCATTCTAGTTGACACGCTAAGGGCCGGCGGGGCATGCTAAGGGGAACGACGGGGCGGAAGGCTAGGGCTAGGGCGGAAGCGGGTGGGCGGACCTAACCTACTATGATACTATGATAGAATAGCAGAATGGACTAGAACGAGTGAGTACAAGGGAGATATAGGGTTGGAGTTGTACCCTCTAAGAACACAAACATATCTAGCCTATAACTTCTACATATAAACATATGTATAAGTTGACACTTACCGTATTGAAACACCCGCCGGAATTGATCACTCATGGGTGGTTTGGGCGGACTGGGGTGCTTAATTAAACTGGATATTTATACCACCCTACTTTTCAACATGAAACCAATACACCACCCCCCAGCTTCGTTGCCTTCATTTTCTACAGCTTGGGTCTACGAACAATACAGTTTTAACATTGCAGAGACTCTCCTACAGCATAAAATATAAGGAGTTAGCCCTAAACACCATGGTCTACTCCCTATATCTACACTATGATCACTATTCGCATTGTGGTTGGGAACTTACAAGCCCCATGATATGGACGGCCGCTCCAACTCGTCTACATCATCTTCAGCTTCATCCTCGTCATCACCTGCAACCCACATCTCCACGTCGCTGCCCTCTGCAAACTCTTCCCACCACCCGTCGTCCGCGTCATCAGCAATGCCTTCTGCTGGCCATTCCCTTTCCTCCTCTGCTGCAGCCTCTCCAAAGGCCTCTACCACGTCTTCTTCGTCGTTGTGAGAGTACGACCCCGTTACGCCACTTGTCCTTTCCCTGTTTCCTTCCTATTTCATTTCTCTTTTTATCTCATCTCATTTGGTTTCCTATTCTCTATTTTCCATTATCCTTTGGTTTATCCTGCAATTATAATTATATCACCAACCAGGCTAGGGATGTACTGGGGCGCCCTATTTAGCGTAATCCTGCCGTAATCCCTTAAAGCCAATAGCCTCGCGTGGCTATACGCAGGGTGATTCTATCTTCTAGAAGGGTCTATTCCCTTTGGATAGGATAAACCTGGTTACCTGATGTACTCTGGAAGTATAAAAGCGCCTTGTATCAATCGATAGTGCAATCTTTCCTCAACACATTCGATCCTGTGACACTTGGTAATCAGAGATTTTCTCACTCGGCCGCGCTCAACAAAGCAGCAGCAGCGGGAAAACCTGCCTCGAAAAACCGCCGGGGGTGACGAATTCGGGGCCGATTCTGGTAAGCACCAGCTCCGCGTTTTGTGAATTACCCCCCCCCCCCCCCCCCCCCCCCCCCGCGCGTGTTTTGAATAGGATGGCAACCTTTGACAACGCCGAGGTTACCCACCAGCTCTTCGCGAGCATCGCAGCCCATCAGGAGGAGATGCGAGCGGATCGCGAAGCGTGGCAAAACGAGTTCGAGCGAGTAACTCGACTCGCTGGAGCGCAGCACGATTCGACAACGGCGACGACGCAGTAGTCGCAGCAGTTTCTCGAGGCTCCGAAACCGCGCCCACCTGAGCCGTTCGATCCGAGCGATCGAAACTCCGACGCCCGCAGATGGATCGCCGGGATGGAGATCTACTTCGCAGCCGTCGGATGGAGCTCGCCAGCCTTGGACGGTCAACGTGTACGACTCGCGGCGATGCTGATGTGAGGGCCGGCACTCGAGTGGATTGGCGGCAACAGCACCTTCATCCATGGTGAAGCCACGTGCCAGCAGTTCCGCACCGACCTGCCGAAACGCTTCGAACCGATAAACTCCGGTTTCCTTGCCCTAAAAAAACCATCGACATCGACAGTTCGGGAGTGTAGCACAGTACGCGCAGCAAATGGAAGAATTTTATAACCACATTCCCGACCTGACCGAAGAGGAAAAAGTACAGTCTTATCTCGCCAGGCTGAAGACCGAAGTCAAACGACAGGTAGCAGCGTCAAACTACGCGAGCTACAGTGACGTCGTTTCGGCAGCAGAGCGCTTCGACATGGTCAACACCGGGACACGACGGACGCACGCCGGCAGTACGCGACAGGGCGACCGCTCGGCTCACCCCACGTTCGCCGACCCGATGGAACTCGACAGGTTCGAAGGGCGGCCACGTCCGAAAAACACCAACTACACGTGTGATTGTTTGCGGGGTGCCGGGCCATCGAATCTTCGACTGCAACAAAATGAAAGCCGCACGCGCAGAGTATCGGGCATGCAACAGTGGCGGAAATCCTTCGGCCAATCAGAAGACAAAAAACGGGAGTCGCCAGTGATTGTGGATCTAGCTGGCGAAAAACAAAAGTTCCGGAAGCGGCCGCGGGATTCCGGGAAAATCAACTTCAACGAAGCTGATTCGACGCGAGCAGGAGGAAATGATGGGGGAAAATCTCCACCCCACGACCAGTCTTCGCCAGAGAAAATCGCCGAGGAAAAATCCAACTCCACGAAAAAAGACTCTGCAGAGACGGGGGAACTCCTTGAAGACCCAAGAAATTATAAGGATTCGTTAAAGTTATCTTATAAAGATGCTTTAATGAAAACTTATGATTCTTGAGGGGCTAGAGCCTTGGAGAAATTTGGGGAGGGACTCCAAAAGAAGCAGAAAAATGTGGAGATTATAACGGTACGAGACAACTTGGGGAAAAAACTGAGTGTGGAAAGAAGCCGACCTTTCCACGGAGTCAACGTCCTCTCCCGACACCAGCCCACAACGACTACCCGTTCCCCAGGGAAGACGTTGGTGGAGCTGAAACAGGTCAAGAGGAAGCTGGGGGTCTACAAGAAGCTGCAAAATCTTCGAATTCCTCCTCCGGATGCATCCAGCTCGGCAACTTCTTCAACGACACGAACAGTCGTCACGGAAACTCCAGGCCCTGGGGAAGAGCCGTTCTCCAAGCAGCCTCGGCCAGCTGCCAGCTCAGGAGTAGATAGCAGCGAAAAGGTGTGTACGGAATATTGGGATGTACCCTATGACCCTATTAATGAAACTATCTTTGGGTACTCCGAGTAGCGCCCGCCCCTCGTGCTCGAGGTCATCGGCAAAGGACGACGCCTCCAAGCACTCGTGGACAGCGGAGCATCACACACCGTCTGCGACAAGGTAGTAATCGACCGACTTCGGGAAGAGTACAAGCCTTCAGGGTTCTCTGCAACGATGGTGGATGGCAGCAAGTTACCAGTACACGGCGAAGCAATGTTACACCTCCAAATTGGACCACTACGCTGGAGACTTGCACTCCCCATCACCAATATAAAAGGGCTTGACCTGATCTTCGGACAAGACTTCCAAAAAGATTCAACCCCGAGATCAACTGGGTAAACCGCACCGCAAGCATTTACAACAATGGAAGGAGAGTCCACTTACCAAAGTGGGACGATACAGGAGATATTCCTGTGGAGACACTCGCACGATTCGAGAAGGACGTGAAGCGAATCGACATCGGGTTCCTGGCGATAGCAACAGAGGTGGAGAACAACGAAGAGAAGACCTCGGAACCTCCAGGAAAAATCAAGGAATTGCTGGAGGAGTTCCAAGACATTCTTCCTGACGATCTTCCGAGCGAGCTACTGCCATACCGAACGCATCAACATGAGATTGTGGAGGAACCAGGTTTGAAGCCGACCTTCCGAGCCCCATATTGGCTCAGCCCCACTGAGCTGACCGGCATGAAAAAACAGATCGAGTATCTCCTCGCCAAAGGACTCATCCGACCATCCACTTCGCCATACGGTGCCCCAGTGCTCTTCACACCAAAACTGGACGGAAGCCTGCGCATGTGCATTGATTACCGAGCTCTCAACAAGCAGACCATCAAGAATAAATATCTGATACCATGAATCGATGACCTGCTTGACCAGCTTCGGGGAGCTACGGTCTTTTCCAAACTGGATCTGCGTTCCGGATACTGGCAGATAAGAATGGCGGACAACTCCATCCACAAAACTGCCTTCCCAACTCGGTACGGATCGTACGAGTATTTGGTAATGCCATTTGGACTCACCAACGCACCGGCAACGTTCCAAGCCAAAATGAACCACATTCTATGCCCACTCTTGGACGAGTGCATGGTGGTGTACTTGGACGACATCCTCATCTACTCGCACGACATGAAGCAGCACGTCGAACACCTGCGACGCGTCTTCGAAATTCTTCGACGCGAACGATTCTACGCCAAACTGTCCAAGAGCGAATTTTCCCTCGAGAAAGTCCAATTCCTAGGACACATGGTGAGCGCTCAAGGAGTTCACGTCGACCCCAAGAAGATTGAAGCCGTACGCATGTAGAAGACACCTGAGTACATGAAGGAGTTGCAGCAGTTCCTAGGCTTCGCTAATTATTACAACAGGTTCGTGCCGCCGTACGCGAAACTCGCAGCACCACTCACGAATCTGCTGATGAAGAACACGCCCTACAGATGGGAGTCGAAGCACCAAGAGGCCATGGAACAACTACAACAAGCACTCACTTCCGCACCTATACTAATTTTGCGAGATCCCGAACGCGACTACGTCATCGAAGCTGATGCCAGCGACCAGGCAGTGGGAGCAGTCTTAATGCAAGACCAGGGGAATGGACTGAAACCAATCGCCTACCTCAGCAAGAAACTATACGGGGCAGAACTAAACTACCTGATACACGACAAAGAGGCCCTTGCTATCATCATCACCTTTAAAGCGTGGAGATGTTATCTCGGAGGACAAAAAAAAGCGTCTACACCGACCACTGCAGCCTGAAATATCTGAAGACACAACCAAACCTCTCCAGGTGGCAAATCCGGTGGATTGACTTCCTTGAGGCACACTTCCACTGTAACATCGTGTACAAGCCCGGCCACAAAAACAAAGCAAACGCCCTTAGCCGCCATCCAGATCGAAGGGATGAATCCACTACTCAAGTGACTCTTCACACACGAGTACACCATCGACCCCGAAATCCCCTTGGCAGAAAAGCGACACCTATTACAGTGGGGCAATGACATCGTGTACCGGAAAGGATCAACAAAAATATGGGTACCCAATTACCCTCTTTTGCGCCAGTTACTACTCGAAGAATATCACGATGTCCTATACGCCGGACACTTCGGTGGCAACAAGACGCTGACCGGTATCGCGAAGCACTACTACTGGCCCCACTTGGCAGACGATGTCAAGAAATTTGTCACCTCGTATGATACATGTCAGAGGATGAAGTGCAGCTAGCAGAAGAAGGCGGGACTCTTACAGCCTCTTCCTGTCCCAGAACAACCATGGCAAGTGGTTAGCCTGGACTTCATCACCAGGTTACCACCTACCACCAGAGGTCATGAAGCAATCCTTGTCGTCATCGACAAATTCTCCAAAATGGGACACTTCATTCCGACACACATGACAGCACGCACCAAAGAAACAGCACAACTCTTCGTTCGATACATCATCTCACATCATGGCATTCCAACCACACTCATCTCCGACCGAGACCCCAAGTTCACCAGCAAGTTCTGGAAGGAACTGATGTCTCTGCTCGGAACCAAACTCGCCATGTCATCCGCCTACCATCCGCAGACAGACGAACAGACCGAGCGCCTTAACCAGATTGTTGAGCAACTCCTCCGAGCGGCCTGCAAGGACAAGATCTCCAAATGGGACTTGCACATGCCCGTTCTAGAGTTTGCTTACAACAACGCTACACATGCCGCTACCGGACAGACGCCGTTCTTCCTCTGCTACGGACGCCACCCACTCACACCACGGAAACCGACACCATCAGCAACAGTCCAACCTGCACACGACTTCATCACAACCATGCATCAGCTTTGGGATCGGACCCACAAGCGCCTACTTAACATTCAGCAGCAACAGAAGCGCCAGGCCGATCGCCATCGCAATGACCACACCGTCACTGTGGGAGACCAGGTGCTCCTTGACACCCGCAACCTTGACATCAGCCATCTCCCATCTAAGCTTCGACCTTGCTTCTGCGGGCCTTTCCTCGTTGAAGCACAGGTCACTCCTGTTAGCTTCCGCTTACGCCTACCAGCTACCTGGAAAATTCACAACACCTTCCATGTCCAACTTCTGAAGCCCTATCGGGATCCGAACACGGTCTTCATCGGACGCCAACCACCACCGCCGCCGCCCGTCCTTGTCCAGCATGAACTCGAGTACGAGGTCGAGTCTGTGTTTGCACACCGCCGTTGTCGGAATGGCACCGTGGAGCTTCTTATTCGTTGGAAGGGTTATGATCCTTCTGAGGATAGCTGGGTCCCTGAGACCGACATGGGTAACGCTTGTCGTCCTTTGCATGACTACCTTGTCAATCAGGGTGTTACTTCTACCACCCAGCTTTGAGGGGGGGAAGTGTGAGAGTACGACCCCGTTACTACACGTGACCTTTCCCTATTTCCTTCCTATTTCATTTCTCTTTTTATCTCATCTCATTTGGTTTCCTATTCTCCATTTTCCATTATCCTTTGGTTTATCCTGCTATTATAATTATATCACCAACCAGGCTAGGGATGTACTGGGGCGCCCTATTTAGCGTAATCCTGCCGTAATCCCTTAGAGCCAATAGCCTCGCATGGCTATACGCAGGGTGATTCTATCTTCTGGAAGGGTCTATTCCTTTTGGATAGGATAAACTTGGTTACCTGATGTACTCTGGAAGTATAAAAGCGCCTTGTATCAATCGATAGTGCAATCTTTCCTCGACACATTCGATCCTCTGACAGTCGTCTTCAGCGTCTCCATTAGTGGGAGGCTCGAGGCTGTCGTTGAACAGGGAGTTGACATACTCTGATTCGCCCTCTTCGACATGCACGTCATCAAAAACTTCCACTTCCGGCTTGCCACGGAGATGGCTCAGGATCAGATTGTCCTCCGAGCCACCCAAATCGTTGGAGATGCCACAAGTCTTGAGCAACTTGCGGATCAACTCCTCTGGGACGGCAGCCCAACTGCGAGCAATCCACTTGAGGATGAGCTCAGCTGGGGGCTTCTTGAGGTTGCCTGCAGGGAATGGAATCACACAACGCAAATTCAGGATCAATTATTGGAGCCGTCGGCAGCGAATTCAGGATCAATTAAACAGTTGACATAATCAGAAGCAGCGGTACACGAGACCCACCCTGCTTTGTCTTCTGCTTGATGCCAGTAGTCTCAAACCAGCCGCCATAGTCACTCCTGACACCGGCCTTGAAGGACTTGTCCACGGCAACGTCTAACGGCTGCACCAGTGGGGTGCAGCCACCGGGGGTCATAGCACGCGTCAGCTTGCACAACTTCATAGTCTGCCCGACGGCTTGCATGAGGTGGCCTTTGTAGGAGTTTTGGATCACGAGAGCCTCCTTACGCTTGTTCCTCAAGTCTCGCAGAGGTCGAAGGAAGGGGTTGAGCACTTGAGTCGTCCAGTCCTGGACTACACTGTCGTCCATCCAACCCTTCAGCTGGGCTCGGATGACAACACCTGCATGCACACTGGACACACAGTAAGGGGACGATGAGGATAGACGGCAAGGAACCGAGGGCAAATTCACCATCTGGGATGGGCAGTAAGGCTAGACATCACACACTTACCGGGGGGGACTTGAATCTTTGGGAGGGTTTTCCTCTTGAAAACGACGTAGGCCGGTAGCTTCAGACCAGACGCCGTCACCGCCAGCATGACAGTGAGCCTCTCTATCTCGTAGCCCGCGGTCCTCACATGGACCGTACGTGAACCCTTGTGCTCCAGCGTCCTCTCCTGGGGCATTTTGATGAAGAGCGGAGGCTGGTCCGCATTCACGATGAGGTCGAGGCTGTACTTGTTGAGCACGCACATTTGGCGAACGAATCCCCAAAATTTCTCGCATTTCTCGCGCATATCTGTCAGGTAAAACAAGGAACCGAATTCAGAAGCGGGTGAAAGAATTCTATAAAACGAGGATGTCTCTTGACAGTAGAGTGCAAAGGACTTACCATCGGCCAGTTTCTGGCCCATCTTCATCTTAACATGACGAGTCAGGCCCCATCGGGCCCGAAAGCGAAATGTCCACCTGCTGGAGGCGCACCATTTGATGTCGGGATGGTGGTGCCGCATGTAGGCGCGGCTCCACTTCTGTAGCTGCTTGACGGACGCGGCGAGTCCTTTGCCGCGGTGCTTCAGAAACTGGAGGTAGAGGGCACGCTCCATTGCAGGGAATTTCGCTGGTCGTCCGGCCCCGACAAGACGCCTACGACAGCCGGCCGCGATGCGAAGCCACTCGTGCGCCCTCTTCCATTCCCTGATGGGCACAGGTTGCACTCCTGCAAGCCTCGCCAAAGCACGAACAGAGAGGTCAGGTTGTAAGTCGGACATCTGCAGTCGGAACAACTTTTCTTTCACGGTGTACGATCGTCGTTTTTTCTTTGGCATCGTGCTGCCCGGCGACGGCGGAATACTATCGTCAATTCTAGAGGGACCACGTCGGTGCCGAACCGGTGAGGGGAACCTTGGAACGTGGACGCGAGGCAGAGGAGCACGACCTTCGGTCGCGCCACTCGACTCGTCTGCCGTAGGAGTGCTGGCATCGCTGGCGGTGGGGATAGGGCTGCTGGGTGGCGATGTAACAGTAGGGCGAGCAGGAAGACGAAACAAGGTTTGTTGGCCATAAAGGCCACGCTAAGTGAAAAGACGGCTGAGGCCCGAGCCATTTGCCATAGCAAGTTGGAGCTATCCTGGCTGAGGGGAAGGATGCCTTCGACAACCCTTTCAGAGGTCTTTTGAAGGCATCCTGTCTCAAGAATGCGAAATGAGTTGGGAGAATTGCCTATACCCTCAGCATGAGCGGCTTGGAGGGGATGGAGGGCACGTGGGCGACTCCCTCACTCGAGCCGCTCACGACAGAGCCTTCACGACCATGCAGCACGGAAGAATCCGTCGTGGGTCAAGAAGGCATGGTCGTGAAGGCCTGGGTCGTGAAGGAATCTGCAACAGATTCCTTCTTGCAGAGGTTTGTTGGCACATCGTGGCGTGGAGGTTGACACCACGAGGTCACACCTATCAGAATGAATAATAACTAGAATGGGGAGATACAAGGCTATATAGACTAGTGAGCTGTACCCACTAAGACACAAACATATATAGTCTATAGTAACTGCATAAGTTATGTTTGACACACCCCCTAGACTATATAGGGGCAGTGCCTAACAAGGGAAGAAGCAGCTCAGGGCAGCACTACTAGTCCAGCCACTGAGACAAGGGTCTAAAGACCAGTCACAAGGACTACAGACAAGACAAGAGCAAGGCCAGGGCGGCACTACTAGTCCAGCCACTGGGAGAGGCCACAAGGCCAGTCATAGTAAAATATATATAAAGGACAGTACAAATTCAAGGCCCTAGCAAGTGAGCGGCTACAGGAACGAGACCTAGCTATACGCAGTGTCGCTGATGATCTTAAAGCGCAAGCGCCTTTGTAAAGATATCAGTTGTGTTGGCACCAGAGGCCAAGTGTACTACGCACGCCTGGCGGCGCTGCTGGAGCTCACGCAGGAGAAAGTACCGCAGCTGGATGTGCTTCGCTTTGCCCTCGAGTCGAGGCTCCTGACACAGGAGGATCATGGCCCTGTTGTCAGCGTACACGACTGGGGCAGAGATAGGCACCTAAGTCAGTGAGCAAGAAGGTCAGCCAGCGCAGCTCCTATGCCGCCATAGCACCGGCGTAGATCTCGGCCTCACAGCTGGACTGGGCAACAGACGAAGAGTGGGTAGCTCTCCACGAGACGGCACCTGAACCAAGGCTGAAGCATTAGCCCTGCGAGGACCTGAGGGTCTCGGCGTCGTCTACCCAAGAAGAGTCTATGTGTCAAGTAAGAACCACTGGCCTGCGTCCTCCTAGCACTAACCCCATGCCCGATGTACTTGCAAGGTAACGCAAAACCCTCTTAGCGGCAGACCAGTGCTGAGGTCGGTGTCTACCTGTAGCCACAAAGCGAGCCAGGATGCTGAGAGGGTATGTGAGATCTGGGCGAGTGCAAGTCATCAGGTACATGAGGCAACCCACCAGCTCTGCATAAGGACCACTGGGCTCTGCCGACTCCTCAGGAACTGGAGCGGAGAGCCTGTGGTCTAGAGGCAGAGGAGTGGGCTGTGCGGAGGAGAACTGAAGGCCGAACCTCTGAAGGACCTGGCGCACCAAGTGTGACTGAGTGAGGGTGGTGGTGCGCGCTGCTATGTCCCTGGAGATCTGCAAGCCAAGGTAGTGGCGCAGTTCTCCAAGGTTTGTGCAGGTGTGTCTCTTCAGCAGCTCTGCCTTCATGGAGGCCAATGCGTCCCTGTCTGCCGTGGCGAAGACCAGGTCATCTACGTAAACAAGGATCTAGAACGGGGTCTGGCCAGCACGAACAAAGAGCGAGGGGTCTGCAGAGGACGGAAGGAACTGCAGGTCAGCAAGCGTAGCACGCAGCATGTCGTGCCACTCACGAGGAGCCTACCGCAGGCCGTAGACGGGGCGCCGCAGGAGCCACTGGGTCCCAGGAGGGAAGGTACCAATGAAGCCCTGAGGGCGGCGCAGGTAGACCTGCTCGTGTAGACTGCCGTGAAGAAACGTAGTGGAGAAGTCGAGGGAGTGAAGCTCGTAGTCACGCTGAGCTGCTACGTGTAGCAGCACCCGAAGAGTAGTCATCTTCGGGGTCGGAGCGAAGGTCTGGAAGAAGTCCACCCCCTCACGCTGACTGAAACCTCTAGCCACGTAGCGCGCCTTGAACACAAGCGGCTCTCCAGGAGGGTGCTTCACCTTGAAGAGCCAACGGCCATCGACTACGTTCACCCCAGGTGGGGGAACTGCGTCGACGTACGTGCCGGTGGATCTCCAAGATGCCATCTTCTGCTCCATGGCAGCTATCCACTGAGAGGCCCAAGGTCCCGAGGTCACCTCAGCGTAAGTGCGAGGGGTCGGGATGTCGAAAGCGTCGGGGTCACCCTCAAGGACTAGAAGCATAGAGCAGAGATGGGGAGAAGCCTCGGACAGGAAAGCAAGCTCGTACTGGCGGTCCTCCAGGATGTCACTCCCGAGGGCAGGAGCACCCCCGACAGACGAAGGACAAGCAGGGTCAAAGACCAGAGCGGTGGCGTAGTCAAGGCGGCGGGTAGAGGCGAAGTCAGCGACCACAGCTACAAGGGCGTCAAGGCTCGGAACCGGAACAGACGGGTCGGTAACGAGAGAGGCAAGGACCCAAGGGACAAGAGGACGAATGGCACGCAGGCAGTCAAACAGAGGGGGGGAAGAAGCGACAAGGGAGCACGGAGGGGGCAACGGGAGAAGGGGAGGACGAGACGCGTGGGAACGAAGAAACATAGGGTGAGAGCGCGAGACAGGGGAGACAGGTCGAGCACGGGAGGGATGGCGAGACTAGACGTGAGACGGAGGAGTCGGGTCAGGAGATAGAGGAGGGGACACAGGAGGGGAACGAGGGGGGAAACAGGCCGGAGATGCATCCGGAGGAGGGAAGACAGGGCCGGAGACAGGAGGAGGAGGAGGCACGTGCATGGGATCTGGGGACGGAAGGCCGAGCAGGCGAAGGGCGGACACCTGCAGGGACTGCTGCGGCGGCGGTGTGACACCGACACCACGACCGCAAGCTGCCTGGCGGCTACCTCCAGAACACTCCACGCCAGCACCCCCAGAAGGAACACCCCTAGAGCTCAGAACCCCTCGAGCACTAGTACCACCCCTAGGCTCACCGGGACAAGCCACGACAAGAGTCCCAGGACTAGTACCCACCCCAACTCCAGCACCCCCAGAGGCAACGAACTGCTGCGGCGAAGGTTGCGGCAGCGGCGGCGGCTGCAACGACGGCTGCGGCGACGGCAGCGGCGGTGACGACGGCTGCGACAGCGGCGGCGATGGCGGCTTCGGAGGCGGCGGAGGAGGAGGCACCTGAGAGGGGGCAGGCAGCGAGGACTGCGCCGCAGGACCACCAGAGTCAGCAGACTCCTCAAGCGGGACAACCGACGTAAGTGGAGAAACCTGGGACACACCAAAGGGGGCAGGACGGGGAGGGGGAGGAGGAGGGGCAGCGACGACCGGGGAAGGGGTGACCAGGAACAGGGGGGGGGGTAACTGGGAAACCTCGGTAGGGGAAGCGGCGGAAGAAGGAGACGGACTTGTCAAAGGTGACGTCACGGGAGTGAAAGAACCGGTGAGACGGCGGGTGGTAGAA